AATTTTGATCTTTCTCAGAATCTAACAAAGCTGAAATGCAACAGCGTTATATTCTAGTATGTTGATTGCCCACGCTACAACACTCATAACACCTGAATGATGGAGGACACTAACAGGTCTGCAGAGAACCTTTAATGTTCAAATTATTCAAAAATTAAACCATCATAACAGCCCTAGACAGATGAAGACACGAGACCTTCTGTATAAAAGACGATCATGTCTCCTGTCAAGTGTTGATGATCCAACAGCGGACTAAACCAGAACCGCTCTGAACTCTGTCATTTACCATCTAAACACACATTGTTCATGATTCTTCCTCAGTAGCTTTTTTTCACACTACTGGCTCTGTCAAGGTCCGTCTTTTTCAGGATTCATTTTTAGTCTAAAAATTTCCCTTTATGTATTTTTATTATGGTCTTTGTTCATCTTTTTTTTTAGTTTTGTCGTTCTTATAAAGCGCCTTGTGAGCTTATCTTGAGAGACGCTATATACAAATATTTTTTCTTCTGCCTAGTGGTATTTAAGCACATTACAGTGGTACTTGGAAACAGTTCATATTTCACGTCCCAGATGATGGCGTTCAGTGATTCGCCAGCATTTGCTGAACCTTACTTAAAAATCAAAACAAAACAAAAACATTGGACTGTGATCTGTATTGCTTAATTAATTCACAAATGAATAAACCCACAGCTTTTATCAGTGATAATGGCAAAAAAAAATCCTAAACCACAACTACATAAAAAAATCAGAACAGGACAACCGCACAATGCTGCGCTACTGAGAGAGGGCGTGAAGCCTCGTTCACAGTGAATACAGAACGCATGCAGAAGTGCTAAGTGTCTGTGATTAATCATCCACCAGCAGTGATTAGTTGTGTCATCAGAAATAACGGGAATGTGGTTGATTTTCATGCTGAGCTGTTTCTTGGAGTGATATGACTCAATCATGGCAAAGTTTGAGTTAAAAAAGAGAACCGGTTTATTACAATCTAGTCCATGTTAATACAAGCATCGGTACACCGGTGGAGAACCATGCAGCCCAAAAGTGGTTCTTTCTTTCCGGCATCTGTCCACTGCTTATAACTCTGCAACAGCATCTCTAAAAAATCTGGTACAGGTACATTCCTAAGGCTGCTTAGAATAGCAAAATGCTATTGTAGGAGAATGGAGTCTCCACAGAGCCGCCTTGTAATTAATGACTTCTTGACAACAGTCCCAGCTGTCTCTCCACAGCCTTTAAGGTGGGATTTCTTCTTAGGGGATCCAAATAAATAAAGATGGCACATTATTTTTAAGCTGCAGTTATTACAACATTGTATGCTATTATATTATATACAGATAAATTGTTTAAAGCAGACACCACCAGTATCTAACAGCTTTAAATGGCAGTGGGTTATACAACCATCATGTGTCTGTTATCTTGTCTGTTTCTTAAATACAGGAGGGTATAACTGTTTTACTTAATCTTTAAGTAACATTTTTTTGTATTCAGAATTCATGAATTAACATCTCAAATGTTTGGTTAAGGTCAGAGTTTTAAAAAACGGAGATTTGAAAAAGAAAATCAAAAGAAGAGGTGGCTCAAGGGCCAAGTAAGGACTTGATCAACGATAGTTGAGCAGAGGTACCAGACTAATATTAAGGTTGTCGTCGTCATCTTCCTTCGCTTATCTGGGTCCGGGTTGCGGGGGCAGAATCCCAACTAGGGAGCTCCAGACCGTCCTCACCCCGGCAACCTCCACCAGCTCCTCCGGCAGGACTCCAAGGCGTTCCCGGACCAGATTGGAGATGTAACCTCTCCAACATGTCCTGGGTCGACCCGGGGGCCTCCTGCCGGCAGGACATGCCCGAAACACCTTCCCAGGGAGGCGTCCAGGAGGCATCCTGACCAGATACCCAAACCACCTCAACTGACTCCTTTCGATCCGGAGGAGCAGCGGTTCTACTCCGAGTCCCTCCCGGATGTCCGAGCTCCTCACCCTATCTCTAAAGCTGAGACCGGCAACCCTACGGAGGAAACTCATTTCGGCCGCTTTTATCCGCGATCTCGTTTTTTCGGTCATTACCCAAAGCTCATGAGCATAGGTGAGGATTGGGATGTAGATCGACCGGTAAATCGAGAGCCTGGCTTTCTGACTCAGCTCACTCTTCACCATGACAGATCGGCTATGCGTCCGCATCACTGCAGACGCTGAACCAATCCGCCTGTCGATCTCCCTTAAACTCTTCCACTTGAGGTAGGACCTCTCTCCGAACCCGGAGGTGGCAAGCCACCCTTTTCCGGTCGAGAACCATGGTCTCAGATTTGGAGGTGCTGATCCTCATCCCAGTCGCTTCACACTCGGCCGCAAATCTACCCAGCAAGAGCTGAAGGTCAGAGCGGGATGAAGCTAGGAGGACCACATCATCCACAAAAAGCAGAGACGAGATTCTCCTGCCACCAAACTCGACACACTCCACACCACGGCTGCGCCTAGAAATTCTGTCCATAAAGGTAATGAACAGAACCCGTGACAAAGGGCAGCCCTGGCGGAGTCCAACCCTCACCGGGATCAGGTCCGACTTACTACCGGCTAAGCGGACCAAACTCACGCACCTGTGGTAAAGGGACTGAATGGCCCTTAACAGAAAGCCACCCACCCCATACTCCTGGAGCGTCCCCCACAGGGTGTCCCTGGGGACACAGTGATAAGCCTTCACCAAATCCACAAAACACATGTGGATTGGTTGGGCAAACTCCCATGCCCCCTCCATCACCCTTGCAAGGGTATAGAGCTGGTCCACAGTTCCACGGCCAGGATGAAAACCACATTGCTCCTCCTCAATCTGAGATTCAACTATCGATCAGACCGTCCTCTCCAGTACCTTGGAGTAGACCTTTCCAGGGAGGCTGAGGAGTGTGATCCCCCTATAGTTGGAACACACCCTCAGGTCACCCTTCTTAAAGATGGGGACCACCACCCCGGTCTGCCACTCCACAGGAACTGCCCCCGATGACCACGCAATGTTGAGTTGTCAATGTTGTCAACCATGACAGCCCTACAACATCCATAGCCTTGAGATACCCAGGACGAACCTCATCCGTCCCCGGGGCTCCGCCGCTATGTAGTTGTTTGACTACCTCAGCAACTTCTGTCCCCGAGATTGGACAGTCCATCCCCAGGTCTCCCGGCTCTGGTTCCTCCTCGGAATGCGTGTAGGTAGGATTGAGGAGCTCCTCAAAGTATTCCTTCCACCGTCCGACTATAGCACCAGTTGACGTCAGCAGCTCCCCATCCCCACTGTAAACAGAGTGAGCGAGTTGCTGCCTTCCTCTCCTGAGGCGCCGGACAGTTTGCCAGAACCTTTTTGGAGCCGATCGATAGTCTTTCTCCATGGCCTCGCCAAACTCCTCCCACGCCCGAGATTTTGCCTCGGCAACTGCCACTGCTGAACCCGCTTGGCTATCCGGTACCATTCTGCTGCCTCTGGAGACCCACAGACCAGCCACGCCCTGTAGGCCTCCTTCTTTAGCCTGACGGCTCCTCGAACCTCTGGTGTCCACCAGCGGGTACGGGGGTTGCCACTACAACTGGCACCGGCCACACTGCGACCACAGCCAGCAACAGCCGCCTCAACAATCGCAGAGCGGATCAAGGCCCACTCGAAATAAATGTCCCCCTCTGCTCTCGGGATGCGGTCAAAGCTCTGCCGGAGGTGGGAGTTGAAGACCGTCTTGACAGGTTCTTCTGCCAGGCGTTCCCAGCAGACCCTCACTATGCGCTTGCGTCTGCCAGGCCTACGTGGCATCTTCCCCTGCCATCTGATCCAACTCACCACCAGGTGGTGATCAGTTGACAGCTCCGCTCCTCTCTTCACTCGGGTGTCCAAAACATACTGCCGCAGGTCAGATGATAGGACTACAAATTCTATCATCGACCTGCGACCTAGGTTGCCCTGGTACCAAGTGTACCGATGGGCATCCTTATGTTCGAACATGGTGTTCGTTATGGCCAAACTGCGACTTGCACAGAAGTCCAATAACGAAACACCACTCGAGTTCAGATCAGGCGGGCCGTTCCTCCCAATCACACCCCTCCAGGTCATTCTGTTATTGCCCACGTGAGCATTGACGTCCCCCAGCACGACAATGGAGTCCCCTGATGGAGCACTATCTAGCACTCGTCCCAGGGACTCCAAAAAGGGTGGGTACTCTGAACTGATATTTGGCCCATACGCACAAACAACAGTCAGGACCCATTCCCCGACCCGAAGGTGCAGGGAATCTACCCTCTCGTCCCCTGGGGTAAACCCCAACATGCAGGCAGAGAGTCTTGGGGCAAACAAAAAGCCAACCCCAGCCCTCGGCCTCTCACCCGGAGCAACTCCAGCAAAGGAGAGTGTCCAAACCCTCTCAAGGACTTGGGTTCCAGAGCCAATGCTATGTGTCGAGGTGAGTTTGACTATATCTAGCCAGTAACGCTCAACCTATGCCACAAGCTCCTGCTCTTTCCCCCACCAGCGAGGTGACGTTCCATGTCCCAAAAACCAGTTTCCTTGTCCGAGGATCGGATCGCCAAGGCTCCCACCTCGGTCTGTGGTGGGTCCACAGTTGGATGCGCCCCTGTATCCAGTTTGGGCTGGGCCCGACCGGGCAAAAGCCCAGCCACCAGGCGCTCGCACACCGGCCCCAACCCCTTGCCTGACTCCAGGGTGGGACCCCAGTAACCCTCCGGGCCGGGTACTCAGACTCTTTGGTTGTAAATCCATGAAAGATCCTCTGAACAGTTCTTTGTCTCACCCTTCACCTAAGACCAATTTGTCATGGGAGACCCTACCAGGGTTGTAAAATAAACTAAATAGTACTTTTGGAAGTACTGCTGTTAAATAAATCCCTCGAGCCATGTGTGGATGTTCGTATGTCTCTTCAAATTTGTCTTTCGGCTAAATCTTTGTCCACAGAGCTCACAAGCAAAAGGCTTCTCTCCTGTGTGCTCTCATAAGACAGTTTAAACTATTTTTATGGCTAAATCTTTTCCCAGAGCTCACAGGAAAAAGGCTTCTCTTCTGTGTGGACTTTTATGTGTATGTTTAAATAATTTTTGTGGCTAAATCTTTGTCCACAGAGCTCACAAGCAAAAGGCTTCTCTCCTGTGTGGACTCTCATGTGTCTGTTTAAACTTCCCTTTTGGGTACATCTGTATCCACAGAGCTCACAGGCAAAAGGCTTCTCTCCTGTGTGGACTCTCATGTGTTTGTTTAAACTATCTTTACGGCTAAATCTTTGTCCACAAAGCTCACAGGCAAAAGGCTTATCTCCTGAGTGGACTTTCATGTGTTGGTTTAAACTTGTCTTTTGGGTACATCTGTACCCACAGAGCTCACAGATAAAAGGCTTCTCTCCTGTGTGGACATTCATGTGATCGTTTAAATGTGACTTTTGGGTACATCTGTATCCACAGAGCTCACAGGCAAAAGGCTTCTCTCCTGTGTGTACTCTCATGTGTGTGTTTAAACTGTGTTTACGGCTAAATCTTTGTCCACAGAGCTCACAGGCAAAAGGCTTCTCTCCTGTGTGGACTCTCATGTGTCTGTTTAAACTTGCCTTTTCCGTACATCTGTATCTACAGAGCTCACAGGCAAAAGGCTTCTCTCCTGTGTGGACTCTCATGTGTGTGTTTAAACTTGCCTTTACGGTACATCTGTATCCACAGAGCTCACATACAAAAGGCATCTCTCCTGTGTGGACTCTCATGTGTCTGTTTAAATTTGACTTTTCGGCACATCTGTATCCACAGAGCTCGCAGGCAAAAGGCTTCTCTCCTGTGTGGACTCTCTCGTGTGTGTTTAAACTTGCCTTTTGGGTACATCTGTATCCACAGAGCTCACAGGCAAAAGGCTTCTCTCCTGTGTGGACTCTCATGTGATAGTTTAAATGCTTTTTCAAGCCAAATCTTTGTCCACAGAGCTCACAGGCAAAAGGCTTCTCTCCTGTGTGGACTCTCATGTGACCGTTTAAACTTGCCTTTTGGATACATCTGTATCCACAGAGCTCACACGCAAAAGGCTTCTCTCCTGTGTGGACTCTCATATGTGTGTTTAAATTATTTTTCTGGCTAAATCTTTTACCACAGAGCACACAGGCAAAAGGCCTGGTGTGGCCTTTCATATGACGGGTTAATTTGGAATTCTGGCTAAATCTTTTCCCACAGTCATCACAACTAAATGATTTTAGTTGTTTCTTGACTTTTCTACATGATTCTCCATGTTGCTTCTCTTTCACACATTTTGTATTAACCGAACACTCTGACGACTTTACTGCTGAATGATTTGTCACTCTCACATGTTCCTGAAGAGACCACTTGTGGAGGAACCGTATACTACACACAGGGCAGCTAAATGATTTGTTGATGGTCTTAATATCTGACTCCGAAGACTTGTTCTCATTACAGCCATGGTCTCCGTTTCCAATTTCAGGCCCAGAGTCTGAACGCTCGGAGTCTAGATTCAAATCATCTTCATCTTCTCCACTAACTTCAATGTCTGAAGAATCGGACGTCTTTTGATTAGGGTCCAGATCACGGTTCTTGCTAGTTTCTGCTCCTCCACCAACTTTTGCTGTCATCTGCCCAGCCAAGCTGCTGGTTGGGACACCTCCGTCTTTCATTCGATGGTTGTGGAAATGTAAGAACAGAGGTTTCTCATCCATCTCTTCTCTTTTCCTTGAAACTGTAGTGAACCAAGCAGAAATATGTAAAATAAAATATATATATAAATATATATTCAGTAAAAAGACAAGACAAAAGACCTTGGGGTGTTTTTGCAATCAGTAATATACATAACCAATGTTGGTAAACACATTATTATTTATGGTAATGCATTATTTTAACAAATAACTGAATCTAATGAGTTGCTTTTAAGTCCAGACATCACTATGCGATTGGTAGAAGGAAAAAACACTATCTGCAAATTCTGATTAACGCCTCTTAGAGCCGGTCAAACCAGCCATCCGTCGCTGCTACTGTGGAGCCTAGAGATACCCTGACAGCAGCATCACGTCGGCCCCTCCCTTCCTTTCCCTAACACTAAAGGCGTGCAGCGGCAAAAATGTAAACAAACATATTCGGCCCAGCTTGTGACCCGGTGGCTCCGAGACGACTGATGGATTACTCTGCGCCCTGCCTTATGAACTTTTGCCGGCTTTGAGGGTGAGCTGGCACCGTGCCACGGCCATTTGGCTCGAGGACCTCGCCAGAGTGGGGTTTGCTGGGAGAATCTCAGCTCGGTTACGGGCTCTGAGCTGGAGGAGATGGTGCCCGTGCGCGATCCCGGTGCTGCAGGCCCACCGCAGATCCGGTTTGGTCTGGTCAATGCCAGGTCTGTGCAGAACAAAACTTTTATTCTTCGGGATTTTTTTATTCAACATGACTTGAGTTTTCTGTGCATCTGTGAGTCCTGGATCCCATTTGGTGACTCAAGAATTGTGTGTACTGAAACTACTTTCCCTCTGGGATTAATAAAGTATGTTTGATTTGATTTGAATGCTCCCTGCTGGAGCTGGTACCACGTGGCTGATACTGTTTTAATATCCCTAGATCGTGGGGCAGAGGTGGTGGGCTGGTTGTTGTTTTTTAATCCAACTTTCCTTGTAAACAGCTTACACCCACCATGTCATTTTCTTTCTTTGAACTGTGCCTATTTGAACTGTGCATCTCCCCCCACCTGCTTGTTGTGTGATTTATCGGCCTCCAAAGACAGAATAACTTCCTTAATGACTTCTATGATCTTGTGGCAGACTGCATCCTAAAATATGACTATGTCCTATTTTTTGGTGATTTTAACATCCATGTCTGCTGTCCTGACAATGTGCTTACTAAAGACGTTTTGAATTTACAAGATTCATTCAATTTAACTCAATTGGTGTTGTCCCAAACTCATGCCAGGGGTCACACCCTGGACCTGGTTCTCTCTTTTGGTCTCCCTGTCATGAACCTTGCGACTTTGCCTCCTGTGTTCTCTGACCACTCTCCAACACACTGTGATGTTACTTTGCCATGCCCTGTCCCTGTGTGTGAAGCACCAGCTACTAGGTTCAGACTCAGAGCCCTGGATGCAGCAACTGTTGCAATGTTCGTGGACTGTATGTCTTTAAGGTTAGAGACCTTTAACCCAGCTCTGACCAAGGCCTGCTTGCTGTCCCTCGTTCTAGGTGTCATACTCGCGGGGACCGGGCTTTCTCAGTCCTAGCTCCGTCACTCTGAAACCAGTTGCCACCCTCAGTCAGGCTGTCCCCATCTCTGCCAGTCTTTAAGATTCACCTAAAAACCCACCTCCTCCACTTGGCGTTCCCTGAACGTGTTTGAGTCGGGCCCTCTTTTATGTTGATTTTATTTCCCTGCTTTCATTGGTCTCTTTATTCCTTGTTTTACCCATTTGTCTTCTACTTTAATGATTTACCTCTTTTGCTCCATTTGAATTGCTTTTATTATCGATTTATTCATCATGTTTCACATATCTCATGTACCGTGTTCAGCGCCTTGGGCTTCCCGACAGGGTCGCGGAAGGTGCTTTATAAATAAAGCTTTGATTGATTGTTTCTGACCACAACTTCTAAGCCTGCTCACAACCCAAGGTTTAGAGCTGAAAACGTCTCTTGGATGAGAGTTAATAATCAGAAACGTCCAGATGTTTTCATTAAATCTCTTAGGTTGATGGTGTCCAGGATGACTGAGAATCTACACATACATGCTGAAGCATGACTCATCACAAAAGTCAAAAGGAAAACTGAAACACTTAAATGTAGCTGCTATCAGTAACAATCTAACAGATTTAAACTATTAAAAGCTCTAAACGCTCTAAATATTTCAGGAAAGTAAAATAAATAAATAAAAAAAATCACAGCTTTGTGTGTGAGATTTATTATCATTAACATTATTATTACATGACAACGTAACCTGCGCCCACCTCGGCTGAAGACCCCCTGGACGCAACTACGACAGGACACAGCGAAGAAGAGACGCTGGAAAAGGAGAACTACTTCAATCACCTGCACCCAATCTCCAACCTGGTTTCACGGTCAAAGGATCAGAAGGGCTTTTCGGGGACAAGATCAGCTCCCTGACAGGTGGACAATTGGGCTGAACAATTTTGGAAAATAATCTAATTGCGATTTTTTTTCTTCAATATTGCAATTGCACGATCATTTTCTCAAGAGGCATTTCTCATTTTTCAACTAACGGAAGCAAAAAAATAAAAATCTATGTAACTTATACTGAATATAAACAAGTTTATGTATCTAGATATTTATCTACATATCACATCAACAAGTTTATTTGTCTACATAAACACTCATGTCAAAACAAAATTTAGTATTTTAGGGTGCACAATGCTTTGCAGCCAGGAGCACATCCATTGAAGGACCATAGGTATTAGCATCAATTGTGAAAATTGATTTGCAGGAAGTGTGTCCCATTCATTGAAGTATTTTGATTTTAGAGTTTTTGACGTTTTGTCCATGCAGAGCTTCCGTAGTTCAATTTATTAGATCTTTCTGCAGCATTTGATACCGTTGACCATGTTATTTTGCTGGATAGACTGGAGTCATGGGTAGGGCTTAGGGGTATCTCAATTCAGTGGTTTTGCTCATACCTGTCAAACAGAGTTTTCAAGGTTCAGTTGGGTAATTGTTCCTCTACATTCCTTCCACTTCCATGGGAAGTCCCACAGGGATCTGTACTTGGGCCTATCCTCTCCTGAAGAGACCATATCACACCTGATCTGGCGCAGCTCCACTGGCTACCCATAAACTTCAGAGTCAAGTTTAAAATCCTGATTTTTGTTTTTAAGGCCCTGAATGGTCTGGCTCCGGATTACCTGCCTGATCTTGTGACTCGTTATGTGCCAAACCGGGCGTTGAGATCTGCTGATTACCTGCTGCTTCGCGTTCCAACAATGAAATACAAAATGCGGGGGCAGCGTGCTTTTGCGTGTTTGCTCCGACACTCTGGAATGCTCTTCCTTTTCAGTGAGGCTGGCACCATCCCTCCTTCGTTTCAAGTCACTACTTAAGGCTCACTTTTACGACCAGGCATTTTTAAATCCCTGACTTTTATTATTTTACTATGTGTCTTTTATTGACAGTGATTATCTGCTTAGTTGTGTATTTTATTGTTGACCGTGTTTTGTTTTTATATTGTGTTTTTACTTTTTATTCTGTACAGCACTTTGGTCAGCTGCCATGCCGTTTTTAAATGTGCTTTATAAATAAAGTTGGTATGGTAATTTCGTTCATAGCTGCTAGCTAGTGGAGTTAAAGTCTCTTACAGTTTTCCAGCTTTACTAAAATATCGGTCTATACTTATTTGATGAAAAACAGTTTTTACTTTTTTTAGACTCCAAATGTAATAATTTGGCACGTTACTAATTCGTAATTTGTCAGAATGTAATCGGCGATATTAGCATTAGCATCCCTATGGGTTTTTCAGTGTATATTAGCATTGCGCTAACCACTCACTGCCAGTCAAATTGCAGCCTTTGCGATTAGAAAATCTCCTTTTGTCACATCGCAATTTAATTGCATATGCAATTAATCGTTCAGCCCTAGTGGACACCCACCTCAACACGCCATGGAAGGACCCAGATGTCTCCCTATTGAGAAACTGAACTGTGCGCTCTCACATCCCAAACACCATTCTTGCATCTTTGGTGTGTTCTTGCTGTGTTGAAATTCTAATTCCATCTTTTGGTTCTTTATAAAACACAGAAAGGTTTTTATTTACCTACAACGTTTCGTTTGCGGCTGCAAACTTCGTCAGCATTTCTTGCATTCCAGACCTGGACTTCAAGGAACTCATCAACTTAAGACTGAAACCATCCTGATCAACGGACGAGGACTCTAACCGTTCCAAACCGTTCTTCAACTGGGACTCTCAGTCCACGGACAAGCCCTTTGATGAAGAACGCCTGGTTTGCCTCAGCTTCTGCCATAGTTAGAGCTGCATGAATTGATACTACCTGTTCCTCATTCACAGAAACAGCCGTGTGTGACCTGTAGCTTTAAATTCATCTGATGTTTCAATAAACTCTACTGATGTTTTCTGTGTATTATATGGTCTTGCTAATCCTTCCCAATCTCTTTACAGGAACTGCTCTAAATTGTAGAATTGTTGCATCACAGTAAATTCACATCAACATGTATGAAATAGCTCTTCTTTAGTTTATGATGGTGTTGATTTCACTGATTTCCATTATCTCACTTGTGTCTCTGTAAGCTGCTGTTTGTTATTGTCAGTTGTGTTTGTCTTATCGTGTTTTATTTGTTCTTTACTTTATTATTTTACTTTGTTTTCTTTTTGTTTGGTTATCGTATTCGGATAACCAGGAGGGATTATGTTATGGAAATGTTATGTTTATTATTAACTGAATGTATTATTCTATGCCTGAAAGCATTCCGACGCACTCACACTCACACACACAAACACACACACACACGCATTCTTGTTACCTTGTAACTTCACACACACACACACACACACACACACACACACACACACACACACACACACACACACACACACACACACACACACACACACACACACTTATCTTTGTTATAAATAAACTCTGAGAGCAGAAACTCGGGGCAGTTGCCTTGAGCTTCTGCCCCTGATTGCAGTTTGGTGACTTGTCTGCTTGTTGTCTCTCCTCTCTCTCCAGCTGCAGGTATTGGGTTATTGATAAAATCCCTAACAGTCATGTAATCATT